CCAAAGGCTTTGGTTTCAGCAAGTGGCTTTCAGGGAGCCTGCTATGGGGCTGCTCTGATGTGCTGGAGGCGTCAGTGGCACTCTCTGAGGTAAGGTAAACAAGAAGGGCAGGAAACGGAGTCCTGGCTCCTGTTGCAGCCTTCGCCGTGAAACTGAACAAGGAACATCCCTGCAGTAGTGGCCTTCTGGGGCTGTGCTCGCAGTGATGGGGCTTGTGAAGAATCCCCCCTCCCAGCGCTTGTCTTCTGCCAGCTCCTGCTATGACAGCGGATGCTGGGGTGGTGCTTTGTGGGAAAACGAAACTGGTGGGGAAACAGAAACTGGGGGGGGGAGGGGGGGGAATGCGCCCATGGCTTCTGCTCCCACATGGTTGTAAGAGCAGCTTGGGGAGGGGTGGTGTCCCTGCAGCCTGCATGCACTCCAGTGGGGCCAGGCTCTGTGGCTGGGCAGAGATGGAGCCATGGATGTGTGGGGACAGTGGTGTCCACATGGCCCAGCAACCACCCAAGCAGCTCGGGCAGTCCCATTGCCTACTGCTAAGCAGTGCTTTTCCAGAGGGGACGGAGCCGGAGGTGCTGGGGGGGCGTGTGGTGCCGGGGAGGTGGCTTTGTGGGGAGATCCTTGCCTTTCTGAGGCTTGCTGCCAGGCTGAGAATAACCCATCACCCCCCTCACCTCCCCATGAAGCAGGACCCAGGGCTTACCTTGCTGAGCCTGCAGGTAGCAGGACTGTCTCCAGTGCTCTGGACTGCCCCTGCCTGCAGGGAAATTGTTCCAGAGGAGGCGAGGGAGGGAGGAAAGATGCTCCAACCTGCTTCAGTGCACCGTAGGAAAAGGAGTCTGAGCCCTGTGGCTGGCTGCAGTGCTCTGTGGGTCTGGAATAGTGCTGCTGCTACCTGGCAGTAGATAGGGGAGCAGCTTTATAGGAACATTCTTGTTCCACTGCCAGGTCTCCACTCCTCAGCAGTGCTGTGGCTGGGTGGTGCTGCCTTCTTCACTCATCCTTGCCCCCAGCCTGGGTTCCTGTGCTGGGAAGGGTGCGGTTGGTTTGGATTGGTTGGTCAGGCACATCCAACCCCTCGCTGCGCTATCAGCAGCACACAGGCAGGAATAGATCGGCAGAGCTGGTGACACAGGCTCAGAGGCTTTAGCTTTCCTGTAAATCACGTGGTCATTTAGCACCGCTGTTTCACAACATGCTGGTATTTGATCAGAGTGCATCCCTGCTCCTGGTCACAGAGGGGCATTGTTCTGGTGCATTCATCTGGTCTGGTTGCCTGCCTCGGGCCTGTCAACAAGGAAATGAGGATCCTGGCCCTGCAGGGTCAGTGCTCCCAGAACAAGAATGTAGGGGTGTGCGTGTGTCTGTCCATACCTGGGTGCCCATGTCCAGATGTGCATCTGTGCCTGTGTGTCTCGTGTGTCCATCCCTCCGTCTTTGTTTATACATGTCTGTGTCTGCCCCCGTCCATCTGTCAGTCTGTCCATCCATCTCTCTGTCCCTCTGTCTGCTCTCCATCTGCGTATCAGCCTGTCCATTTGTCTCTCTCTGCCCGTTCCTCCATCTCTCCATCCTTCTGCCTGTCATTCACTTGTCTCTCTGTCACTGTGTTCATCCTTTTCTCTGTCCATCCACCCATCTGTCCATACTTGTGTCACTCTGTCCATCCTTCTGTCAGCCTGGCCATTTGTCTGTGGGCCCGTCAGTCCATCTGTCCATTCATCCATTTTTCTGTCTGTCCTCGCTGTTGGTTTGTCCATCAGTCTGTCCATTCGTCTGCCTGTCCATCTTTCCGTCCATTTATCCATCTCTCTGTCCATCAGTCAGTTTGCCTTTTCATCCATCTGTTGGTCTGCCTGTCCATCCATCTTGCTGTGTGTCCTTCTCTGTGTTGGTTTGTCTGTCAGTCTGGCCATTTGTCCATCGGTCTTTGTCTTTCTGTGGTTTGTCTGTCCATCAGTCCTGTCCATCCTTCCATCTGTCAGTCGGTCTCTTTGGCCCTTCTCTTGGTTGGTTTGTCTGTCAGTCTATTTGTCCATCTGTCTTTCTGTCCTTCTATGTCCATCTGTCTTTCCAGCCGTCCTTCCATCTGTCCATTGGTTTGTCCATTCATGTGTCTGTCTGTCCTCCGCCCATCTGTTTGTTCATCCATCTGTCCATCTCTCCATCTGTCCCATCTGTCTGTCCATCCTTCCATCCATCTTTTTGCCTGTCAGTCCATCTCTCCATCTGTCTGTCCCTCTGTCTACTGGTTCATCAGTTCATCTGTATGTCCAGTATCTGTCATTCTGTCTGTATGTCCTTCTGTTGGTCCATCCATGTTTTCATTCCTGTCCATTGTCTTTGCCCTCTTGTCTATCCATCTGTATGTCCTTTGTCCATCTTTGTGCTTTCATCTGTTTGTCCTTCTATCTCTCCGTCCCTCCATCCTGTCCACTGTCTGTCCATCGTCCTCCCTGTCAGTCTGTCCGTCTGTATGTCAATTTGTCTGTCAGCCCATCTGTCTGTCCTTCTGTTAGTCCATGTGTCTGTCTATCTGTCTGTCCAACAGATAGCCAGAGAGATGGCCAGACAATGGTCAGACAGATGGACAGACAACTGGACAAACAGAATGACGGAAGGACAGACAGACGGAGACAGATATACAAATGGATGGACTGACGGACAGACTGACAGAGAGGACAAAGATGGAGAGAACAGAGGGATAGGGGAGAGAGCTGGACAAACAGACTGGCAGATGGACACAGAATGACAGGCAGACAGATGGACTGGACTGACGGATGGACAGACTGAAGGCCACCCACAGAGGGATGGACAGGACAGGCAGACAGATGGGTTGAGAGATCAACAGTCAGTCAGTCCGTCTGCCCTTTAGTCTGCTTGTCCCTCTCTTTTTCCCACCACCTGTCATTCTGTCTCTCTCCATCTGTTCATCAGTTTATTGCCTGACCATTGTCCCTCCATCCCTCCTTCTGTCCGTTGTCTGTTTTGGTCCATGTGTTGTCTCTGTGTCTCTGTCCATTTGTCCCTGTGTGTGTGTGTGTGGTTTCCTGCAGCAGCCCGTTCTGGAACAGGACATGGTGGCTGCAAGCCCTGCACAGCAGTGGCACATTCTTACCTCCTTCCTCTGTGGCTCTGTCCAGGCCTGGTTCCAAAGCTGTGCTGGCCGCACGTGCACCAGTGGCTCATTGCCATGGGCACACCCCAGCGCTGACAGCAGCAGGACTGTTGTCCAACCTGAGTACAAGTCTTTATTTAGTAGGCTTACAAAAGAGCTTTACACGAGGAGTACAAAAATATGAAATAGGCTTTGACTCTTCCTAGGTAAAACTACCATTGGTTTGCTTCAAACTTAGGCAATTCACACCATTGGCATCTTGGACATTGTAAAATGAGGAAAGAAAACTTCCCATAAAGTAGCTGTACGTACCCAGTCATACTGTCCATATGTACAGTACATACAGTACTGTCGATTATTGATAAGTTTAAGACACAATGGCTCTGTCATACAGATTCCCACTTTGTAATTTATCCTTTAATGAATTCCACTGAAAGATGCAGTATCGCTTTCCTCTTCCAGTTATAACATGATTAAGTAATCAACAGATTAAGACTGATTTGGCATGCTTTGTACTTGTACCACTTGGATCCAATACCACTTTGTAATAAAAATTAAATAAATATAAATATGTTAAATAAATATCTTGTAAAAGAACACCCCACTTCCATTAGAATTCAGCATTTCTTCCTCCTTTGCACACGATCAATGTTTTGTCACAGCTTTTGGGCCAGTGAAAAGAAATACTGCATCTTTAAACCCAGAGGCTTGATGTAATCTGCAACCTGCAAGCAAGAAATGGGGTGTGTGTGTGGGTATGTGGGTGAGTGAGTTCTTTTACAGCTTTATCACACCCATTAAAACCAGGGCCTCTCCTTGTCTCCTATTTAGCTCCTTTTTCCCCAGGACTCATCTTACCTCTGGCTCTGGTGCTCCTGCTTCACAGGCCCAGGACACTCGCTGTAGGTAAACCATGGTTAGCCACCGTAAGCAGCTCACAGCTGGCAGCAGTGTATGCTCTAATGTCACTGCCTAGATCTGATACTGTGATTTAAGTCAAGTTCAAGCTGTTCTGTAAATACTGGTTGATAATTAAACAATGGGGCTTATTTTCAAAGGTAAACCTTTAACGGCTTTCTAAAGTCAGTATGTTTTAGAACTTCATCCTTTCTGCTCAGCTATAAGGGACTTTCCAGGTTAGTACTGATAAAGCAGAAATTGTACTCTCTCTACTGGTTTTGGATAATCATAAACCCCTTTCTGATCACTGTGGTGTGCCTAATGTGTAACTTGGCAGTAGTGCAATGGCAGGTTCTGGCGATTTGCTACAACTAGAAGGCTCCTTTTGCAGATCCCAGTCCCTAGCAATGCTATGATTTCAATCACTGTATTTGATTCTTCGCAGTAAAACACATCAGTTATAATATCACAACAGTACAGGGATATTGGGTGATGGGTATATCCAGCTTTTGCTCTCCATTTCTACCATCTTGAGAATAACTCCATCACCAGGGTTCATTGCTTTTCTGAAGTTACCACTTGCTCCCTGGGCTCCCACCATCTCCTGGTCCAGCGCAGGCAGAGGTACAAGGCACTTTTTGGAAGCTTGGTTTCTTCAAAGAGAGAATTCAGCTCTTTGGTCCCTCTTTTCCCTGCTGAAGGTAGGCCTGTGTCACAGCCCTGTGCTTGGAATGTTGGTCCTAGAGAAGGAAATTCCATCCCCCTCGTCTCAAACAGTGTCTCCCGCAAGGCTCAGCTCCGCAGAGTCCTCATCATAGTAATGCTGAAAGAGTCTTTCGTGGCAGCAGATGTGCATAGCGTGGTAGGTGTGTAGGAGCAGCTGAGGGAAACGAGCTGTAAAGTAACATACAAAGTCATCTGGAATGGAGCCCAGGGTCTCTTGCACTTCAGGAGGCAGTTCTCTGTAATGGTGCTTCTGTATAGGAAAAAGAACAGGGAAATGCTCAATCAGAGAGGGTCTGTTCACAGATCCTCTTTAAACAAAGCTGTCTTCCATGGACAAAGTAACCGCCTGCTAGCTGGCTGTAAAGGAGCTCAGTTCCTCAATCAAGGTAAGACAAGCAGACTGACAGGAAATGGAGGCAGAAGTGTAGTGTGCATGTTGCTTAGGGAACAAAGTTCTTTACCTTATTCCTCATCGCCCTCAGAAGATCCCGCACGGAGCCTCCTTTGTAGGATCTGAATTTTCGAAGATCTGCAAGAGAAATGACAGGATTTCTGCTTGTGCTTTGGTGCAGTTTTAGTTGCTGGCTTCAAGTCAGGTCTGTCTGCTCACAGTCATGTGCACACCTGGATGTGTTTTGACACATAAACACATACTTTATCGTCAGCGAAGTGCTACTTCAGATTAAAGGGTCATTACCTGTCTGAAGAGGGACAGTGATGTGCTCTCTCCAGTCCAGTTTCACCACCTCTCTTCCACCTCTTTCCAGCTGCTTGACTATAGGCCCATCTAAAGTTTCTTTCTCTATCCGGTCACTAACATCCTAGAAGAGACATTCAGGTTAGTTTTTGTTTTATTTCCAGCTTTTCCCAAACAATTTTAAATTGTTCTGATAATGGGGTTATGATTCTACTTCATGGTAACATGTAATGTTATGCTTGAGACTGGGACACAAAAGTTTCTGGGATGATGCTACTAAAGCATCACAGAGTAGAACATCTTTAGGCATCTTTATGACTGAAAAGATGGAAAAGCTCAAAACAAACCTGAAAAAACTGGAGCTGCTTTTCTAGACTCCAAAAGAAGGGGTGTTTCAGCACACAGCTGGCAGACGGACGTTTCTGAGGGTCCATGCTTATCATCTGCTCTATTAAATCACGAGCGACTATGTCTTCTGCAAGGAAAAGGGTGACAACAGGCTGTAGGGAAATGTTCTGTACTTTAGAAAAGTATGCTCTCTACTCCCTGAGCACTAGCGCCACTAACTCAAGCACTGCCTGCATACATGTGCTGTGCAGCCAACAATGTCAGTGTGATTATGACAATCAAAGTTCAGCTCTTTCTTACCCTTAAAATGCATTAAATAACTGTACAGTAAAGCTCACAGGGTTCCAGACTGTGTACCCTAGAGGTGCTGTGGAGTATGAACTTTAAGAGCTTTACTTGAAGCGTACATTAGCTGCACAACTTTCAGTACTGCCAAATCTGGGAATCACTGTGGGCGTAGCTCTGTCCTTTCTGATGGCATTGAAGCACCCAGGGGAAGTTCACTAAAGCAGCAGTGCTTTACGGTTACCGAGCTTTTCTTACCATGTCTCCCTGCATTTAAAGACTCCAGGCTGTATGCACCCAGCAGAATGTTGGCTTGCCGCTGCAGAGATTTGCCAAAGGGATGGCTGCCTTCAGATATCACATAATAAAAGACACAGCCAGCTGAAAAGATGTCCACGGTATATGTCTGCAAATAAACAACCTTTAATAGCAATAATACATTGTTTTCCCCCTGAAGACTTTGATCATTGATCATTTTGCATCTAAGAGCAGAAGAAAACTTTCCAGAATGACATATTCAGCTGCAAGCCAGCATGAATGCCCAGATGTCAAGTACTGTGTGTATAAAGTCTGAATGCAACCATGTGCCACCCGTTGGTTGTGCTGCCTTCTCCCAGGGTACCTCTTAGAAAGATGGACACTTACAGGGTTCTCCTTGCAGTCTTCACTCAGCATCTCTGGGGCAATCCACCCTTCGGTGCCTGGCACACCCGACCGGCGGCTGAAGCTGTGCCTGCCCACTGCCAGCTTCTTGCAGAGGCCAAAGTCTGAGATCATGGCTTTGACTTTCCCATGGGCATTAGGCATCGAGATGAGGATGTTATGGGGCTTCAGGTCCCTGTGGACTATTACAAACACCATTTACCCACTCCAGGCAAACCCAACAACATTTGTAAATTTTTGATGTGTTTGCATTGAAAACAAGGCTGAGCCACCATTCATTAAACCAAACTCCTGACCTCAAACTACTCTCTTTGGTAGAAGATCATCACTTTTTTATACCATCACCACCAGTCACTGTGTTTTACATGATCCAAAAAATGCAGTGCCCTGAACAAATGGAAGTGGCTGCGCAGCAGAATGCTGCAGACAAAGGCAGTATCTGAGGACAGACACGACTGCTGCCAGCACTAAGTGGAGTTTCTACAATACTCTTTGGGCTTGAATAAACAAGCTCCCAGCGCCAGATCAGCTTCTCTTTTCTAAGTAAGTTCAAGAAAGACAACGCTCCCCATCCAATACTGTAACAAGAGGCATTCTTACCGATGCTGAGGGAGTGCAGGTACGCAAGACCAGATGTTGTCTGCTGCAGGAGAGTGATGGGTTGCAAGCCATGGTGACTGAAGGCCTTCTGCTCAACGTACTATACATGACAACAGAAAAACAGGAGATAGAGCCACAGACTTGTTTATCATTACCCTCTGCACTAGTAGTAAGTCTGCACCCCTCACACCCCTAAAAAGCAAGCTAGCTGGTAACACGTGGAAAAGACCCTTTCCTTTCTGGCTGAAGGTGACGCTCTCTAAACTGTGATTCAGCACTACAATTCTGTATAGCCCTGTGCTCCAAAAGCAAGAGTTTTCAAAGTCCAGCTGATAGGAGGGGGAGGATGAGTAGAAAGGTGAATTTTCTACAGGTCTGAAAACAACCCTGGTGCAGGAACATGTACTTGTCACAGAGGTGATGGTGGGAGTAACTGGAACATCTCCTGCAGCAGGCACCAGGAAGAGGCTGTCACAAATTCTTACCTCCTGTAAGGTGGCAGCACACAGCTCAATGGCGATGTACTGGAACTGCCGGTCCTTCTCCGTGCAGAAGTAGCGGATCACATTGGGATGCTCATCCGACTCTCGCAGCAGCTGCACTTCACGGTCTGCAAAGCTGAAGCACTCCGGAAGAATCCTTTTCACTGCAACATCACGGTTATCAAACGTCCCCCTGCAGCAGGAAGGAAAGCCACAGCACCCTTTGCACTTTCTGTAGACATGGCAAGCTCAAAGGAAGTGACAACAGATGTTTACAGAGGCACATTACAGCATTTCTCATGCTGGAAACAGATGCGATTGGTCATTAAACATTTCTAAGGGAAGAACAATCTTTTTTGCTCATGAAGAAACACTGCAGGGAAGTATTCCAGACACACAGAAAATACTTTTTTAAAAGTTTCATATTTGTTCCTATTAGATATGTAGGGATATTTTATTTAAAATAAAGACCTAATGCACATAAGACATTTATTGGTCTGTTTAATGCTGAATGCACGTATTGTCTCCTACCGGTAAACAATTGTCCCTTCAGCTCCATGTCCCAATACATCTTTGGGGTTAAATGAGATCTTGCCAACCATCACCCTGTTCGCATCTGCATCTGAACAAAAAAACAAGAAACAGGAATTGGTTTCATATGGGTCAACTCAGGCTTTTACAACTGCACATCCTTCAGGACCAGAATGTAACAATCTTTTGGCTCATATCTAAATTAACAGCACAGATGATCAACACAGATTAAACATCTCCATTTTGGTACTCGCACAGAGCAGGCAAATACTGTGGTGACCAAATGACTAACATCCAGTATCAAACACACTGTACACAGCACCTGACGTAAGGTCTGAAAGACAAATGTCTCAAGACAGTGTAAGAGATGGGTGGTTCTCAGCAGACAAACTCTAGGAAGCTTTACACCTGTCTTGTCAAGTGTAGGAAATGCTGCTGACCATTATGGAAGTGGGTTTACCAGCAGTTCCCCTGATGAGCCTGGAGAGTACCCTGGAAGATCAGGCAGGAAGGCAGGTCCTGCTGCACAATTCTTGATTCCAGTTAATAATAATAGTACATATTTTTGTTTAAATGATGCTCTCTGGAGTGGCTACATCTTATAAAACTGAACTGCCATGGACAATATAATCCCTCAGCTGGTAGTTATGACCTGGGTGTTTAGCTCCTAAAGCAAATAATCCCACTAAAGGTCAGAGCAGGGCGTGGCATGGCACAGCACACCAGCACCCTGTGTACAAGCGGTCAGACTACATGAGACTGCTGGTCCTTTCCAGCTTTCTGTTGTAAGAAGTATCATCACTGTTTTAAGTGTTGTGCTGCAGTGTCATACAGTCTGGGCAATCGGAGACTCACAATAAAAGACACTGGATCAACTTTACCTCCATCTTCTTGCTCAGTGGAGAGGCAGCTCCCAACATCGGATGTGGAGATGTTGGAATAGGCAGAATGGTTTGATGCTCTGGGGGACACATTCGGTGTGCTGGCAGCTGAGCTCTCTGTGCGCCCATTGGAGGTGTCCAAGAAATCTGCTTCTGGGGGCATCTCACTGGGACCACGGAAGGGCAGCGACTGTTGCTGCAAGAGCTGTATCTTCTCTTCCAGCTGATGCTGCCTCTGTTGCTGCTGATGGACACTCTGTAAGAAAGGACCTCAGTCATGTAAGCGAAAGGAAGATTTTACAGTAATGGCACAAGAGGGAATTCTATAGCTATTGAGGTAGCTACATCCAAAAGGTAAGGGGGGAACTTGCTATGACACTATCAGCCAAGCAGACTGGGGAGCTTTCACAGACATGTTTTCAGTCTCATTCTGCATGTCCACTGCAAAGCTGAGAAACTGCACTGCTTGGGAAACGCTGTTACTAGAGTGACTTTAAACCACAGATGAATAAAGGCTTTGATCCAAAAGCCAGAAAACCTGATGGTGGTTCAGGTGAGGAAGAGAGGAGTGAAGCGAAGAGTATTAAGATCATCTTCAGGAAAAGAGTAACACATAAAAATTTGTAGCCTCTGTGGGCAGGGATAAAAAACCCTGCAGTGTGTTGCTTTCTAACTCCTGTGCCATTTCTTGGGCTGTGAAATGTTACTGACTCCCCAAACTCAAAAGCTCATCAAGCTAAATCAGCATTACCATTGGGTAAGTGATGATAAAAGCCACCCAGCCCACAAGCAAGAAGGTGCTGAGGATGATGGTGGCCATGTCTTTTAACATGGAGTCCACAGGAGCCTCTGGCCGAGGGGCAGGCCGAGCAGGTTTCTCCTCAATATCCTTTGGAACATCAGGAGGTATTTCTGTGGATGAACTTTCAACGATATCAATCACCTAAAAGGCAAAGGAAGCACTGTTAGCTCAGTATCTTCATGGGTAATGGAGTATTTACATGCCAGTCTTTCTGTTAAATCATTTTTAATGATTTCTAACCCTACCAAAGTCAAAGTTTTGCATGAGAAAGAAAATAAAGCAGCTGAAAGCTCTAACTGTGAAATAAGGAATGACACGTCATCCTATCAGTTATTCTATGTGCTAAGTGCATGAAATTCCTTCTGAGTCCTTCCCTTCTGCAAAGTCCTTTCTTTCTACTCCTCTATATTCTTCTGCCATCCAGTAAGATGATTATTCTCAACACAAACCTTTTCAATAGTGGCTTTTTCAGAGTCAGCTGGAATCACATTTTCAGGCCTCTTAGGTAAGTTACTTGGGAATTTCTCCAGGATC